ATTTGGGCTATAGTGTCGTTTAAATCTACTGTATCCTTGTTGATCTTCTGACCGGATGATCTGTGTATTTCTGAGAGTGGAGTATTGAAGTCCCCCAGTACTATTGTATTGGGGTCTAAGTCTCCCTTTAAGTCCGTTAATAAATCTTTTAGATAAACCGGTGCCCTGTAGTTAGGTGCATATACATTGATAATTGTTATATTTTCCTGTTGAATTGATCCCTTAATCATGATATAGTGTCCCTCTTTGTCTCTCTTAACAGTTTTTGTGGTAAAGTTTATGTTGTCCGATATTAAGATGGCTACGCCCGCTCTTTTTTCATTTCTGTTGGCATGGTATATCTTTTTCCAGCCTTTCACTTTCAGTCTGTATGGATCTTTGTTGGAAAGATGTGTTTCTTGTAAGCAGCAAATAGATGGGTTTTGTTCCTTAACCCAATCAGCCAATCGGTGTCTTTTAACTGGACAATTCAGGCCATTCACGTTCAATGTGACTAATGATAAGTGGTAATTTTGCCCTGCCATTTGCCAAAGATAAGTTCTAATATATGCTTTGAATTCCCTGTGATCTTTTGCTGCGAGGTTTCCTTCCTTGATTTTCTTCCTTTACCTTCTTTCATATTGATGACCGTGTTTCTGTGTTTCTGTGTGTAACACATCTTTAAGCATCTTTTGCAGGGCTGGACGAGTGGCAACAAATTCTTTCAATTTCTGTTTGCAATGAAAAGTCTTTATTCCACCTTCATTCACAAATGATAGCTTTGCAGGATATAATATTCTGGGCTGGCAGTTGTTCTCTCTTAGTACCTGGGCTATATCTCGCCATTCCCTCCTAGCTTGTAGAGTTTCTGATGAGAAGTCAGCTGTGAGTCTGATTGGAGATCCTCTGAGAGTAATCTGACGTTTCTCTCTTGCACATTTTAGGATCTTTTATGTTTCACTGTGGAGAGTTTAATTACAATGTGTCGTGGTGTGGATCTCTTTTGGTCATGTTTATTAGGGGTTCTGTGAGCTTCCTGTACTAGGATTTCTCTGTCCTTCTCCAAACCTGGGAAATTTTCTGCTAATATCTCACTAAAAAGGCCTTCTAATCCTTTCTCCCTCTCCATGCCTTCAGAAGTCCTAGAACCCGAATGTTGGGTTTTTTAATAGTATCCTGAAGATTCCCGACAATATGTTTTAGATTTCTAATTTCCTCTTCTTTTCTTTGGTCTGACTGTATCCTTTCCTGTTCTCTGTCTTCTAAGTCCGATATTCTCTCTTCTGCTTCACCCATTCTGTTTGTAAGGCTCTCTATTGTGTTTTTCATTTGATCTATTGAATTCTTCACTTCAGTCACTATCCCAGTTTCCTGTTGTACTAGTTGTTTCGTTTCATTTTGATTCCTCCTTAATATTTCATTTTCACGAGAGAGATTTTCTATCTTGTCCATTAAGGATTTCTGTAGTTCCAGAATTTGTTTTTGAGAACTTCTTAATGTTCTTATCAATTTTTTGAGATCTGCTTCTTGCATTTCTTCTATGTCATCATCTTCATAATCTTGAATTGGGGTGTCTTTTTCATTTGAGGGCGTCATGGTGACTTCCTTGTTTTTATTACCTCGGTTTTTGCGTTTGTTACTTGGCATATTGGAGATATTTTGTTTCTTCACTGTGGTGCTTTTTCTTGTTATACTATGACTCTAGATTAAGTGGACTATCTGTTTTTGATGGAGCCTTAGGGCTTGAGATGGGTGTGGCCTGAGAGCTCTGTTTGGTGTGCCAAAGGTGACACTCCCAGGTTAGGCGTGGTAAATCTCTCTCTCTCTTTTTTTTTTTTTTTTTTTGATTCAAAAGGGAAGTAATTCCGCACAGCTGAACGAAGTTGGAGGTAGTTAGCAGGCAAATGATATACCCACAGGAGCCAGAGATCCGAAGCTCTTTCCCAAGAACCCCACAGGGAATCTGTTCTGCCCTCAGAGTGGGCTCAAATTCTCCTTCAGCCTCCCACTGGGTTGCCAAAGTTACGGAATTGTAGCGTCTCTGGAGAGTGCTCACGTGAATTCCATGAGTTCTCTCCCCCACTGTCTCTTTTTTCACAGTCTCAGTTCAGTAGCACCACAAATTTACTAGGTCCTAATCTCCTGTTAATTCGCCCCGCCCAGAGTCAGGTTTTTCTGCTAGGCTCAGGGCCGGTGCAGACCTGAGGTCGCTCTGCTTATGACGTATGTCCAAGATGGCGCCTGCTCTTTGTCTTGCTCGCCCTTGAGAGGTGAGCAGAGAGAGAGAAACTCGTGTCCGTACTAGTCACCCCCCCTTTTTTTTTCTCTCTCTCTCTCTTCCAGTTAGCCTTGTGAACTTCCCCCCCCGGGGGTCGTTCCCTCTAGTCTCCTCTCTCCGCTTGCCTGCCGGTGTCTCGGTCTATTGAGGTTCGGCTCACCTCGCGTTCCAGCGCTGGTGTGTTGAGTCTGCCGCTGGTGTCCCGAACTGTGGGCTCCCACGCTCTCCACGCAGGTCCGCTGTGAGTCACGCATTCCGGAAGAGTTTCTTCTGCTGTTTCCTCCCCTACTCTTCCTTGAACCTGCAGTATCTCCACTTTTATTAAACTATCTCTCCCCAGACTATCAATGTGCTCCCTTCCTATTCCGCCATCTTGCCGGAAACCCCTCCATCACTATTTCAATTTTGTTTCCTTTCTCACTCCTACTTGGGGACTCCAAGTATCTACTAGGTTCCATGAGGCTCCCACAGCTCATCGATTTCTTAAAATTCTCTTTTCTCCCAGTATTTTATTTTGTTTCTAAGTTAAGTGTTTAAATTCACCAATCTTTCTTCTGCAATGTATATTCTGTTAGTTAAATCCAAGCTATTTTTCATTCTACCATTGTAGTTTTCATCTCTAGGAATTTTTTTTGAAATATCTTCCTCATCTGTATTTTTTTAAACACATGGAATTTAACTGTTTTAGGGTACTTCATTCTAGTTGCAGCACAAATTTCCATTGGTGACTTTTTCTTTTCATTATGGATTCTATTTTATTTCTTCTTTGCATGTCTGGTATCTTTGTTAATTTTACTTTATAGTGTATTGTATAATTCTGAATCCCTGTAGTCTCAAGCTTTGTTCTAGGGGCAGTCGAATTTCTTTTTTATTTTTTTATTTTTTTATTTTTTTATTTTTTTTTTTTTATTTTTTGACAGGCAGAGTGGACAGTGAGAGAGAGAGACAGAAAGGTCTTCCTTTTGCCGTTGGTTCACCCTCCAATGGCCGCCGCGGCCAGCGCGCTGCGGCCGGCACACCGCGCTGATCCGATGGCAGGAGCCAGGTACTTATCCTGGTCTCCCATGGGGTGCAGGGCCCAAGCACCTGGGCCATCCTCCACTGCACTCCCTGGCCACAGCAGAGAGCTGGCCTGGAAGAGGGGCAACCGGGACAGAATCTGGCGCCCAGACCGGGAGTAGAACCCGGTGTGCCGGCCCCGCTAGGTGGAGGATTAGCCTAGTGAGCCGCGGCGCCGGCCCAGTCGAATTTCTTAAAAACTTTATTATATGACTTGAAGATTTTTAACAAGGACAAGAACAGTATTAATTCTAGGGATACTATACACTATTATGGTGAGACTTTTTTGATTGCTTCTGTATTTCAGACAGAACAGTTCATCTAGTCTCCCCATCTTGTGAAGAAATCAAAGTTTTTGCAGGTACATGCCATTCTTTTTGTTTTTTTGGATGTGCCTAATTTATAGTTAGTTAAATTCATCTTTACTTTCTACTAAAGGCATTTAATATCCCAATATTCATTTTCATTGGGATCTAGCCAATTGTGACAAGGCTTGATATGTAACCCCCCTTTTGGCTTATTTATCAATTTAAAAAATTTAGATTCTATTTCCTATATATTCTGATAGTTGCTTTTAAGCTTTCAGTTTTGTGGGCATTTTGTTTTGTTTGCCTCTTTTGCTGTTACCTTTTTACTGCATGTGATTAGATAAGGGGATCTCAGTAAACTTTGTGGAAAATGTATGCTATGAAAATAAAACTCTGGATTTCAAAGTATTTTTCAGCAAAATAAATTTCTAATTTTCTCATGAATTTTTTGAAGTCATTTTTTATAGTCTACTTAGTTTAACCCTTTTGTAACTTTATTCTTGCCCCCAAGGTTGAATTAACTGACATTTTTTTCTGAATGTTTGTAAGTTTGCAAATAATTTTAATACCATCTGTTGGGTTCCCACCTGCCTGCAGCTGTATGTGTGCATGTGTGATTATACTAATACTGCCACTGAACTTCTCATTATTATTATACATCATGCTATTTACTGAAGTTTTGAAATGATTCCTTGACATGTTATTGGGTGTTGTGCTGCCCCTTGATTGTAGGGAACAATCAAGACACAGAACACTAAGCCGGCGCCGTGGCTCAATAGGCTAATCCTCCACCTTGCGGCGCAGGCACACCGGGTTCTAGTCCCGGTTGGGGCGCCGGATTCTGTCCCGGTTGCCCCTCTTCCAGGCCAGCTCTCTGCTATGGCCAGGGAGTGCAGTGGAGGATGGCCCAGGTGCTTGGGCCCTGCACCCCATGGGAGACCAGGAAAAGCACCTGGCTCCTGGCTCCTGCCAGGATCAGCGCGGTGCGCCGGCTGCAGCGGCGGCCATTGGAGGGTGAACCAACGGCAAAAAGGAAGACCTTTCTCTCTCTGTCTCTCTCTCTCACTGTCCACTCTGCCTGTCAAAAAAAAAAAAAGACACAGAACACTGTTGGCAAAATTCATGGTTTATAGGGCCATAGTTTTATATGATATAAATTCATCTTGTCCACTCAAAAATGTCTGACATTGCTTCAGGGACAATGTTTGCACATACAGTTAGTTTCAGTACTCAAACTGCTAGTCAGTCTCATTTCTACATAAGTAGATGAATGAGATATAATTCAAAATCCAATGAAAAATCTTAGAAGGCAAAAATTAAAGTGACAGAACTATATGACGGAAAAGTAAAACATTTCCCTTTGCCATAACACTTACCTTAACGGGCCCAATATAGGGAGATCCTCTAATTGTTGCCAGTGAGACTTGAGAGTCTTCTAACTGCGCTAATATGTCATCTACAGATGAAATAATTAAGATGGAATCCTTCTCTGTGTGATGAAGGACTAAGTGTAAGGGAGTAGTGTTCCAAAGATGAATTATCTTAAGCAGCAGTTTTTCAAGAGCAGCTTCATTAGTTGCTGAGGCTGATATTTCTTTTATTTCATGTTCATAATGGAACATCTAAAACGAACAAATTTTTAACACTGAGTCATACAAGCAATTCCTGGTACATTTAAAATGGAAGATATAAATGTATGCTTTGAAGGGTACTTCATAAATATTAACTATGCAATTTCAAATTGAGTTTCCATGCTAACCAAAGGCATCATGAGCTAACCTTCACAACAATCTTTTTCAGTATCTATCCTCCTACCTAATTCACATTTTCATGTTCCGTGAAAATTTGGAGTGTTCCTCTTACTCATCATAAAGAATATATATATATACACTTTGTGTGTATGCAGACATTGCCTTCAGCTAATGCCAATAGCATTTCCTTCAGCTTTCTCTCCTTCACACTAATGCCTACTGCTTAGGTAACTCGTGACATGATTTTACTCTGTATACTAATCCTGGGATATATTCATCCAAGAAAATGCAAGCTCCAATGAACCACACTTCCATGATCTCCCTTTCTATACCACATCAAAATACATTAACACGCTATAAGCAGGACTTCTTGCCATGTGTACTGATTTCCAGTTCCCACTGGATAAGACCCTGACGTAAGAACTTTGTATTCAGTCACTGTAATAGAGGCACTTGGGGAGCTTCTCTCCTCTATGTCTTGGAATTCACTAGCTGTGCTTATTGCTTTTAATCCCTGGTTAGAATTTGCATCACCTCCATGGAGTTAAGGATCCCTGGGTCTTGGTAGTGCAGCTCAGTGGGTGCTTTGAATAGGTATGACTGATTTTTATCATCTCTTACGGGCCTACCAAAGGTGTGTACATGGACAGGACCGTTAGCGGCTTGCTTGTAGCCTTTCTTAACAGCTTCAGGAATGGAATTTACATTTTGACATAGATTACACAGCCAAAGGCAGATAAGGAAACACAGAATCCCCATGATTCTATACTGAAGAAATAAATCACTTTGTGCCTAACATTCTGAGATTGGTTCACAGGGTAAAGTGTAAGCGAAGTTTCAGCTGAGTGAATCTAGCCCCATCAAGTCTTCATGGTCCAAGTTTCAGACTTGACTGACAAGTGGTCAGACCTTCCAACTGACTTGGTAGTATCTGGAAAGTTTCAGATAAATCTTAATACCCGTAATCAATTACCAACCTCTGTTATGATGCATAGGGATTCCTAAAGTGTAAATGATCAACCATAAAGTAGCAGTGTTCATTTTAGGCATGCCATTGATCTCTTTCTCCTAACTTTAAGACATCCGTTCCATATGATAAGGCATTTTAGAGCTGGCACAACATCATGGAAACAATGACTGTCACATATGATTGCATGACATCATAATTTCTTCGTTTGATAAGATCACAAATGAACTTCTAATAAGGCCTATTCTGGAAAGTCTTGGGGCAGAAACACTAGTCTGAGTTAGTCTCAAATGTGAGTATTAGTAAGCAAAGCAAGTTTGACCTGAGTTCCTGGGCTCAGTCCTGTTCACCTAAGTACCACATTGCAGTGGACAAGCTGTCAGATTTCTACAGGATTATTAAAATGTTCCAGAAACCCAGAGTTCAGTTGAGAGCACTAGCCACTGCCACCTTACCACCCTTGAGTATTGCCATTAACCTCAAGAAGGAGAAAGGGTTCCTCTAACTCCTGGCTATGGTGTTTCACAGTCTGAAAATGAGACTAACGGTGTTGTTCATTTTTGTTCACATACAAAACTACCTTAAGTCTGGACTCCAAAAACTGTGGGAGAGGTGGCTTCCTTTTTAAACTATCTGTTCATGCTGGAAACATAGGGACAGGTCATTGGAACCCTTTGAGGTATTACAGGCCACTGACCCCAGATCACCAGCTGCTCCCCTCTGTGCCTATCTCCCTAAACTTGTGTTGCTTGTGACTATACTTACCCTCTACCGAAGACTTTGAAAATGAATGTCTCATTGACAGTGTGCCAGATTTTCAGTACACTGGTTTGAATAAACTCAGCTGTTGGCACTGGGCCTTGCATTCTGAAATTACCTGGAATATCTTGTTCAATTCTCCTTTGTCTTATAGACCAGTTAGGAGGCTCTGATAAAGATCCAGGAAAGTATGAGATACTTAGGATGCGGTCTGAGAGAGCAAGCAAAGTGCAATGATCAGTTCATGATTTTTAGTGTAAGCGGTTGGAAGAATGGAATTGCCATTAACTGATTCACAGAAGATGGAGCGTAGAACTTGGTAGATGGAAAGTGAAAAGTGAATTTATCTAGCTAACTTTGAAATCTCTCTCAGACATATAAGTGGTGATGTTAAATAGGAAATGGGATATGTACGTCTGGAGCTCACAGGGGGATTGAGATTAGGACTCAAGATATAAAATGATCTAATTTTTTTTAACTTTTATTTAATGAATATAAATTTCCAAAGTACAGCTTATGGATTACAATGGCTCCCCCCCCATAACTTCCCTCCCATCCGCAACCCTCCCCTTTCCCACTCCCTCTCCCCTTCCATTCACATCAAGATTCATTTTCGATTATCTTTATATACAGAAGATCAGTTTAGTATACATTAAGTAAAGATTTCAACAGTTTGCTCCCACACAGAAACATAAAGCGAAAAATAATAGATGATTTTTTAAATGATGATGAAATCAGATCAGACCTATTGTCATGTTTAATCCCAGTGAGAGTCAAGTTGGGAATTGATAATTTTTTTTTTTACAGAAGATCAGTTTAGTATACATTAAGTAAAGATTTCAACAGTTTGCACCCCCATAGAAACACAAAGTGAAATATACTGTTTGAGTACTCGTTATAGCATTAAATCTCAATGTATAGCACACTAAGGACAAAGATCCTACATGAGGAGTAAGTGCACAGTGGCTCCTGTTGTTGACTTAACAAATTGACACTCTTGTTTATGGCATCAGTAATCACCCTAGGCTCTTGTCAAGAGCTGCCAAGGCTATGGAAGCCCCCTGAGTTCACTGACTCTGATCATATTTAGACAAGGTCATGGTCAAAGTGGAAGTTCTCTCCTCCTTTCAGAGAAAGGTATCTCCTTCTTTGATGACCCATTCTTTCCACTGGGATCTCACTCGTGGAGATCTTTCATTTAGGTTTTTTTTTTTTTTCAGAGTGTCTTGGCTTTCCATGCCTGAAATAGTCTCATGGGCATTTCAGCCGGATCTGCATGCCTTAAGGGCTGATTCTGAGGCCAGAGTGCTGTTAGGACATTTGCCATTCTATGGGTCTGCTGTGTATCTCACTTCCCATGTTGGATCCTTCTCTCCCTTTTTGATTCTATCAGCTAGTATTTGCAGACACTATTCTTGTTTATGTGATCCCTTTGGTTCTTAGTCCTATCATTACGATCAATTGTGAACAGAAATTGATCACTGGGACTAGTGAGATGGCATTGGTACATGCCACCTCGATGGGATTGAATTCGAATCCCCTGGTATGTTTCTAACTCTACCGTTTGAGGTAAGTCAGTTTGAGCATGTCCCGAATTGCACATCTCTTCCCTCTCTTATTCCCTCAAATGATCTAATTTTTAAAATCAATTAAATTTGCCTTTTGAATTTTTTCTTCTTTTTAAGAAAATTTCCCACCTTCCTAATTACAACAGATTATTTAGTAGAGATTTATAGGTTTCAAATGCTGGTTTTGATTATATTAAATAATACAGACCATGAAATATTAAACATTGATGAGGCTTACTGTAAGATGTGCATGAATGTAGGGTACATTTTAACCTTGAAGATATTGAAAAATTGTTTTTATATAAAACTTACAAACCAAATAGTTGCTAATTATGCATTTAAAATATTATAGCAAATTATTGGTAAGACTATCCTAGTACATTCTTAATATTTTTATTTTATACAGAACAGAATTCAGTGATTTTGATTTTTCTCTTCCTTTAAAATGTATTCTAAGAAGTAGCATTGCTAAATAAGGAAAGACTAATTTCATTTGTTATGCATTAAAACTAGCATCACTGTTTTGTAACATCTAGATGATAATGGTATAAAGAATCGCCTACCCAATGACTCCATTTAGACAATGTCCTACCACCTATCATCTAATAGACTCTTACTTTCCTACTCTGTGAACTCACTTTTCTAATCCCTGATCCCTGTGTATTTAATATTACCTACTTAAAGTTGGCCCTCCTGGCATTTCAACCTATTCTCATTTACCTTGAGGTTTAGAAGGTCTTCTATGGTGCGGCCTTTATAAAAGGAAATTGAATTTCCAGTAATCTCCTGGAGAGCCTCCCAATGCCTTGGCTTCAGATGAGAGTTTCCCAGAGCTACAATGGCAGGCAGCTTCTGTTTAAACTCTGTCACTGACTGCTTAAGATTTGTAAGCACATCATTTGCAGGTAAACCTATAAATTACAAATGAGGAAGCTTTATAATATGCTCACCATATTTTTTAAAACGAAAACTGAGAATATAAGCATTTTTCCTTAAAATTTGTTAAGTAATGCAATGCTAATTTATTGGTTACTAATCTGAATTATAATATAAAATAATAAGCTTCAATAACATCACCCTTCCATAAGAATCAACTCTATATTAAAATAAAAAGAAATAGCTATCAGGACAGGTGACTAACTACTACAGGGCTTCCCCAATTCTCACTGACAAGATAAATATTCAGATGGATAGTACATACACACACATACAGAAGACTGACATACATTGTGGACTTTTAAATTTTGCTAAGCAAGGAAGAGCATCAAGGGGAAAACAGTCTATCACTTCCATTTGATAAAGAAAATATTTCTATTGCTGACCTATAGGAAATGTAGGTGACAATAAATTGGTCTGTTCTCTGGCAGTGGCAAGCCACTGAGTTAGAGGGCTCAGAACCTATGCATTTGAAGGTTTACCCTTGTAATCTTTCTTGCTCAGTTTAGAAAAGGGGCTGGGGAGTACAGAAACAGAACTGGGGACTCAGGAGAGCCGAAAGCTCCACACTCACTCTTGAGAAACCAGTGCGTACAGATGAGAATGCTTTTATAAAGCCCTATTGAATAGTAAAGTGTTTTTCAAGACCTATTTAAATCAAAGGTCCAAAGACTATCTGAGTTCTTGCCACTACAGGCTTTGGCAAAGAGCAAGATTTTATTCAGAAAACTAAGTAACAGAAGGCATTGGCTACGTGTCACTTTAAATCTTGTTCTCAAACGTGTACACAGCAGCGTATTGCGAGGGCACGCACCCAGCGTTATGTTCCGGCATAAGACTGTGAGTTGTCACCAGTTTTTTTTTTCTCTAAACTTTCTGTGCTATTACAATTTATAAACAAGAAAACCATTTTCCTAGCCTTTCTGTAGAAGAAATTTTGCTTAGGTATAGCTGAAATGATAAGGGGACAAAGTTCTCTCAGCCAGGCCATGACCTCACAGAACACTCTCACGGGACACTACTCCTGCATTGCCAAGATTCCAGATTGGGGGATTAGCATGTCGAAGAACCTCCCAGAATGGCTTTTTTTTATTTTTATTTTTTTAAACAAAGCTTTGATCTGTTTCTTGGCTCACCCAATAGTGCCTCCCGATGCTGCCCCTCCAGCCCCTGCCTACAGGGGAAAGCAGCAGGGCCAGTGTTCATGCCCAGAGGGCATTCTGAGAGCATGCTGGGTGAGAAAGCTCAAGAACACCCTTACCTTTTTCTAGTACAGAGATGGTGTCCAACCACTTCGAAACATTTCTCTGTATCGATTCTACATCCATAGTTTGAAGAGAACAACTCTTCCATTCCTGATAGAGGCTTCCCCACTCCTCCCGTGTTTCCCATAACATCCGCCTCAAACTTAAGTCATACTCAATGTCACAGATCTCGGCAAACACAATCCGCGTGATTTCTTCCATGCTAAGAGAGTGCATCTGAAAGTGCAAATCCTCAAAACGATCCTGAAAGCTCGAACACAACTGAGCCTTGACAGATAAGCTGGCAGCCTCTTCCGAGAGGGTCCGGATAATTTCCTGGGCTGTCGTCACTTGTGTAGCAATACACAACAGAACAGGGGTTCTTATCTGAAAAGTAACAGTAAGACCTTCTAAGAAACCACAGTGTTCCCAGCTTAGACATGCTTTACTGATAGAGCACTGTAGTGTATCATCTAGGTCGTAATACAATGAGTGAAGTTGGAACTGTCATCACCATTTGCCTCAAAGGCCTGGAAAAATTTTAGGAGTTTTCAACTCCCCCATTTCGGCCCCTCCCCCCACTTTTTTTCCCCCACCAAGGGCCCTTTTAGCAATCTGTTGACACCCTTGGAAAAGTGTCAGTTCCACCCATGTCTTGCCTACATACATTCATAGTTGAAGAACATGCTAAATTCTAGTTAGGGGTTAATTAAAATATTCATAGAGATGTAATTTTATTTTCCATTCAAGCTCACAAGCCACCAAAATTGTGTCTATGAACCCCAAGGTAGGAATACTCGGATTAGATTGACCAAGATTCCATGAAACGCAAATATCCAAATGCTTAAGCATCCATGAAACTAAGAACAAATTTTTAATGAAAAAAAAAAAACAAAACTTACTTCAGATTTTAAATTACTAACAGCAACCCGTAGACCAATGACATATGCTTCCAAATTTTCCTTGAATTTAGTCATAGCAGCACTTTTGTTTGTTTCATATAACTTCACAGATGTTTTTAGTTGACTGAACTTGAAAAAAAGGACTTCAAACATTGCAATTTGCTGTTCTGAAATATGAATCTGGTAATTCCGCACAACAGAGTACAGCTGAGAAATTGTCAAGTACTCTTTTTCTAACATAGATATTTTTGAGGAAATTGTGTCCAAAAAAACAAAATGTTCCACAAATTCTTCTATTTCAATGGGATTATATTTCAGCTGTTGCACTGATGATTCTATGACCTGAAATCATTCACATGTCAATTATAATTATGCAATGATTGTTCACTCTTTTAGAACACAGTAATTTCTTTTAAGAAGACTCTAAGTATTATTTAATTACTAGGGCATTAACATGATCAAATACTACTGTTAACAGAATATAGCTCAATGTATATCACATATAAAACAAATGCTACCAAGATATAAAAGCAACATTCTGAATAATTACTTTTAAGAAATAAATGTAATGAAAAAGAGTACAAATTGGAGTTCAAACAGTGCATAACGACTGTGTCATGTTTTGAGCGTGTTACACTGACCTTATTCAGCTATATATAATGTTTTCTAATTAGGTATTATTTTCCTGCCCAGGAGAAATTGAGTCTCAGGTTCATTAATCCATGATCAGAAATTCAGTTATAGTGAGTTATAGAACTACGATTCAAACTCACATCTGATTCCAAATCCATTTTTTTTTTTACCATACTGGTATCCATTATATAGCATCCATTCTTCCCATAAGTATATGTCATTCTTTAAGATTTTTAAGGCAATTGCATTTCTACTTCAAATTCTAACTTTTAGTTCATGTTTCAAAGCTTTTTAATATTTGAAACGTAGAGTTATAGAGAGGCAGAGGCAGAGAGGGAAAGAGCGAGCTTCCATCCGCTGGTTTGTTCACCAATTGGCCACAATGGCTGGAGCTGGGCCAATCTGAAGCCAGGAGCTTCTTCCAGGTCTTCCCAAGTGGGTGCAGGGGCCCAAGGACCTGGGCCATCTTCTACTGCTTTCCCAGGCCACAGCAGAGAGCTGGATCAGAAGTGGAGCAGCCGGGTCTTGAACTGGTGCCTATATGGGATGTTGGCACTGCAGGTGGTGGCTGTATCCACTAAGCCCCAGGGCCAGCCCTATGACTTTATTTTATGACAAGACATCATAAACTTGACCTTTAAAATGAGGGTTACAGTGCCAACCCCACCACGTTGAGTTAAAAGAACTAATAGCAACCCACAAATGCTTTCAAAATAGTCAAGGGGGATTTCCGGCAAGATGGCGGAATAAGAAGGGAGCACACTGATAGTCTGGGGAGAGATAGTTTAATAAAAGTGGAGATACTGCAGGTTCAAGGAAGAGTAGGGGAGGAAACAGCAGAAGAAACTCTTCCGGAACGCGTGACTCACAGCGGACCTGCGTGGAGAGCGTGGGAGCCCACAATTCGGGACATCAGCGGCAGACTCAACACACCAGCGCTGGAACGCAAGGTGAGCCGAACCTCAATAGCCCGAGACACCGGCAGGCAAGCGGAGAGAGGAGACTAGAGGGAACGACCCCCGGGGGGGGGGAAGTTCACAAGGCTAACTGGAAGAGAGAGAGAGAGAGAAAAAAGGGTGACTAGTACGGACACGAGTTTCTCTCTCTCCGCTCACCTCTCAAGGGCGAGCAAGACAAAGAGCAGGCGCCATCTTGGACATACGTCATAAGCAGAGCGACCTCAGGTCTGCACCGGCCCTGAGCCTAGCAGAAAAACCTGACTCTGGGCGGGGCGAATTAACAGGAGATTAGGACCTAGTAAATTTGTGGTGATACTGAACTGAGACTGTGAAAAAAGAGACGGTGGGGGAGAGAACTCACGGAATTCACGTGAGCACTCTCCAGAGACGCTACAATTCCATAACTTTGGCAACCCAGTGGGAGGCTGAAGGAGAATTTGAGCCCACTCTGAGGGCAGAACAGATTCCCTGTGGGGTTCTTGGGAAAGAGCTTCGGATCTCTGGCTCCTGTGGGTATATCATTTGCCTGCTAACTACCTCCAACTTCGTTCAGCTGTGCGGAATTACTTCCCTTTTGAATCAAAAAAAAAAAAAAAAAAAGAGAGAGAGAGAGATTTACCACGCCTAACCTGGGAGTGTCACCTTTGGCACACCAAACAGAGCTCTCAGGCCACACCCATCTCAAGCCCTAAGGCTCCATCAAAAACAGATAGTCCACTTAATCTAGAGTCATAGTATAACAAGAAAAAGCACCACAGTGAAGAAACAAAATATCTCCAATATGCCAAGTAACAAACGCAAAAACCGAGGTAATAAAAACAAGGAAGTCACCATGACGCTCTCAAATGAAAAAGACACCCCAATTCAAGATTATGAAGATGATGACATAGAAGAAATGCAAGAAGCAGATCTCAAAAAATTGATAAGAACATTAAGAAGTTCTCAAAAACAAATTCTGGAACTACAGAAATCCTTAATGGACAAGATAGAAAATCTCTCTCGTGAAAATGAAATATTAAGGAGGAATCAAAATGAAACGAAACAACTAGTACAACAGGAAACTGTGATAGTGACTGAAGTGAAGAATTCAATAGATCAAATGAAAAACAAAATAGAGAGCCTTACAAACAGAATGGGTGAAGCAGAAGAGAGAATATCGGACTTAGAAGACAGAGAACAGGAAAGGATACAGTCAGACCAAAGAAAAGAAGAGGAAATTAGAAATCTGAAACATATTGTCGGGAATCTTCAGGATACTATTAAAAAACCCAACATTCGGGTTCTAGGAGTTCCTGAAGGCATGGAGAGGGAGAAAGGATTAGAAGGCCTTTTTAGTGAGATATTAGCAGAAAATTTCCCAGGTTTGGAGAAGGACAGAGAAATCCTAGTACAGGAAGCCCACAGAACCCCTAATAAACATGACCAAAAGAGATCCTCACCACGACACGTTGTAATTAAACTCTCCACAGTGAAACATAAAGAAAAGATCCTAAAATGTGCAAGAGAGAAACGTCAGATTACTCTCAGAGGATCTCCAATCAGACTCACAGCTGACTTCTCATCAGAAACTCTAAAAGCTAGGAGGGAATGGCGAGATATAGCCCAGGTACTAAGAGAGAACAACTGCCAGCCCAGAATATTATATCCTGCAAAGCTATCATTTGTGAATGAAGGTGAAATAAAGACTTTTCATTGCAAACAGAAATTGAAAGAATTTGTTGCCACTCGTCCAGCCCTGCAAAAGATGCTTAAAGATGTGTTACACACAGAAACACAGTCATCAATATGAAAGAAGGTAAAGGAAGGAAACCAAGGAAGGAAAGCTCACAGCAAAAGATCACAGGGAATTCAAAGCATATATTAGAACTTATCTTTGGCAAATGGCAGGGCAAAGTTACCACTTATCATTAGTCACTTTGAACGTGAATGGCCTGAACTGTCCAGTTAAAAGACACAGATTGGCTGATTGGGTTAAGGAACAAAACCCATCTATTTGCTGCTTACAAGAAACACATCTTTCCAACAAAGATCCATACAGACTGAAAGTGAAAGGCTGGAAAAAGATATACCATGCCAACAGAAATGAAAAAAGAGCGGGCGTAGCCATCTTAATATCGGACAACATAAACTTTACCACAAAAACTGTTAAGAGAGACAAAGAGGGACACTATATCATGATTAAGGGATCAATTCAACAGGAAGATATAACAATTATCAATGTATATGCACCTAACTACAGGGCACCAGTTTATCTAAAAGATTTATTAACGGACTTAAAGGGAGACTTAGACCCCAATACAGTAGTACTGGGGGACTTCAATACTCCACTCTCAGAAATAGACAGATCATCCGGTCAGAAGATCAACAAGGATACAGTAGATTTAAACGACACTATAGCCCAAATGGATCTAACAGATATATACAGAACTTTCAATCCTACAGCTAAAGATTTTACATTCTTCTCAGCAGTACATGGAAGCTTCTCTAGGATTGACCACATACTAGGCCATAAAGCAAGTCTCAGCAAATTCAAAAGAATTAGAATCATACCATGCAGCTTGTCAGACCATAAAGGAATGAAGTTGGAAATTAGCAACTCAGGAATCCCTAGAGCATACGCAAACACATGGAGATTGAACAACATGCTCCTGAATGAACAATGGGTCATAGAAGAAATCAAAAGAGAAATCAAAAACTTTCTGGAAGTAAATGAGGATAACAGCACAACATACCAAAACTTATGGGACACAGCAAAAGCAGTGTTAAGAGGAAAGTTTATATCAATAGGTGCCTACATCAAGAAATTGGAAAGACACCAAATAGATGAGCTTTCAATTCACCTCAAGGATCTAAAAAACCTACAGCAAATCAGACCCAAATCTAGTAGGAGAAGAGAAATAATTAAAATCAGAGAAGAAATCAACAGGATTGAATCAAGAAAAACATTACAAAAAATCAGCCAAACGAGGAGCTGGTTTTTTGAAAAAATAAACAAAATTGACACCCCATTGGCCCAACTAACTAAAAAAAGAAGAGAAAAGACCCAAATCAATAAAATCAGAGATGAAAAAGGAAATGTAACAACAGACACCACAGAAATAAAAAGAATCATCAGAAATTACTACAAGGACTTGTATGCCAGCAAACAGAGAAACCTATCAGAAATGGATAGATTCCTGGACACATGCAACCTGCCTAAATTGAACCAGGAAGACATCAAAAACCTAAACAGACCCATAACTGAGACAGAAATTGAAACAGTAATAAAGGCCCTCCCAACAAAGAAAAGTCCAGGACCAGATGGATTCACTGCTGAATTCTACCAGACGTTTAAAGAAGAACTAACTCCAATTCTTCTCAAACTATTCAGAACAATCGAAGAAGAGGGAGTCCTCCCAAATTCTTTCTATGAAGCCAGCATCACCTTAATTCCTAAGCCGGAAAAAGATGCAGCACTGAAAGAGAATTACAGACCAATATCCCTGATGAACATAGATGCAAAAATCCTCAATAAAATTCTCGCCAATAGAATGCAACAACACATCAGAAAGATCATCCACCCAGACCAAGTGGGATTTATCCCTGGTATGCAGGGATGGTTTAATGTGCGCAAGACAATCAATGTGATACACCACATTAACAGACTGCAGAAGAAAAACCATATGATTATCTCAATAGATGCCGAGAAAGCATTTGATAAAATACAACACCCGTTCATGATGAAAACTCTAAGCAAACTGGGTTTGGAAG